CCAGCTCGCACCGAATTTGCTAACGAGAGTCGTGAAACTCCTCGTCGCTGCTTTCCCAGTCTGCATGGTTTCGACTAGGAATCCTCGCGGTCGTTTTTGCAAACATCGTCGTCATCTCGCAGCAAACCGAGGAGCTTGCTCGCACCTCGAGTCTCCGTTCCAAGGACGTCTTACGTCTTCCTTGATCTCATGTTCATATCCATCTACTTCTGCGAATTTTTGCTCAAAATCTACGCAGGTAACAGAAGCATCTCAGAGTCGTTCGCTTGTTCGCGTTCTTTGGCGCTCAGACTTCAATGTTCGTTCGGAAAAAAAAAATTCGCTGACTAGCGCCGATCAAATTTTGGCTCGACGCGTACAACCGGTTCGACTTTTGCATCCTCGCGCTCGCGGTCGCGCAGTGGGGTTTCGAGATTGCGTACCCGAACGTCACCGAGCTCTCGGGCTTGAAAGTGCTCCGGGGTATAATCTGCGTGAATCTTTGTTGGGGGGGAATTGTTCGGACGAGAGGATAATCTAAAACGTCAGCCCCCGCTCCGAAACCAGGCCTCCGCGCGCTACGAGCCTTCCGCAGCTTCTCCTTTCCTGCACAGCCTGCAAGTCGTCGTCAACGCCCTACTCAATACCCTGCGGCGGAACGTGCTGGACATCATCCTGCTCCTCGCCCTCATCATGTTTATCTTCGCCGTCCTCGGTCACTACCTGTTTGGAAACGAGCCGGACCTTAAAGTCCCACGAGGACTGGGGGACGTTCGGGTCCAGCATTTATACCCTGTTTATTTACTTTTGCGTAAGCTGCTTTTTATCCCGCTCTTCTTGTTTTCTGAGGAGCTGAGGGAAAATGCGCTTATAGCAAATGCGTTCCGTTTGCAATACTAAAGGCAGACGGCTGGATCGAGTACCAACAGCGGCTTGACCACGACGGGTTTGCGGGCAGCGAGATATTTACCGCAGCGTTTATCTTTATCGGAAACTACATCATCGCAAACCTTTTCGTCGGCGTTATTTGTCAGGTGAGGAGTGCCTGCCCTCTTTGAGAATTTATGCAACGCTGCGCACTGATCCCAGTTTCGTTGCAGAACATTGACGAAGCCACACAAATAGACCGACTTAACCAGCTGAAGCGGCAGAGGGACGCGAAGCTGCTAAAGCGCGAGTTGTTTTTTCGCAAGCAGCGCCAGGATATTAGCTCGCTGATCAGCCAGGTGTGAATCACTCCGCGCGAACTCGACGACTGTTTTTTTTTTTATCTGGCGAAGTCTAGCACGTGCCTGTCTATTTCCAACTTCTCATCCCTGAGTCTTTTGAACCCGCCTCACTTCAGTCGACCAGCAAGAACCGCAGCTTTCATGACCTGATACGAGACATGGTGGGACAGCTTCGCCACGAGGACGTGGTGCCGATGACCCACATCGCGTGCAACATGACCTGGCTGGAGACCTTCGCGGTGACGCTGACGCACCAGGTTTCGCCCTTCATCGGATAACCACAGCAATAGTCGATTTGCTCACCATCAGCTCTATTTTCAAACCCCAAACTTTGCCATTTCGCGCAGGAAAACACCATGTACCGATGCCAACAGATACACTTTGGGATTGCAAACGTCCTGGCTGAGTACTGTGAGTGATGATGCGACGACTTTTCCTTTGTTGCGGGTGAAGAGGATGTTAATCGTTTCTTCCACCTTCATCTCAGTCGACAGAAGGCTTAAATCGCGAATGGCGCAAGAAAATTGAGATTCGTACCTCTTTTGCAGTATTACAGCAACAGCCCAAGAACTTTGGGATCCACTCTTTGGATCCTGTTGAATTTCAGTTGTGATTTACATCGTGCCACCCTGTTTTGTCACCAACTGGATTCCAACAGAGAAAACGACAAGTTCCAGGGCAACTTCTGTAGCAAAGGATTGAATCGAATATGGAGTGGCACGTTTTCTCGAAACTATTATTAATATCACATGGTCGTAAAAATCACAGACAGAAAGGCGACCTTGTCAGGCCGATCTGGCGGACAATGGACTCTTGCACCACCTTCTGCTTCGTCTGCTGCTTGCCAGCGGCGAAGGACCTGGACGGGCGCGGCGTGCCGAACGAAGCGCTGCGCGTGTGGCGACGCTGCCGAGGTGAAGTGAGCGAGTGAGTGGAGCAGAGGCCAGCGCGAGCCTCCTCGCGCCGCTGTCTCCCCGAAGAGCCGCATGCGGGCGAGCGAGCTGTGGCGGTGGCGTTGCCGATCTGTCGTCTCGTAAAGCCCCACACACACACAAATGATGCAAACTTCCACACAGCCATTAGACGCAGAAACGGAAAGCTGACGCCTATTGGCTCCGGCGCTCGCTCGGGCCACGTTATCTGGGAGGACGCTGCAAGAAAAGACGCGACCATCGAGAGCACAAGCAGCAGCCTGGGCCTGGGCTTCTGGGAAGACCAAGTGCAGCCCTTTGAGGTGGACAACGAGACAGTCGTTCAGAAGGTTCCCCGAGGACGACTCTTCAATGCCGTAGATTACTTACGCGATGTCGTCCACACGAACCGGTCGTCCACGGTTCGTGTGCTCGTTGCATTTCGTTTTTCTTCGTTTTGACGGTTCGCCGTTGGGTAATGTGTGAACCTACAGGCTACATCATCCACACCGTCTGCTTGGAACTTCTTCGTCGGGAGTTAACAATCAAAGGCTACAACCTATCTACTCTGGTCTCTGTTATTCAGAGACACTGCTCCTCCCGCTCCAGCGGTGTTCTCTACAGCCGTTACATTCCGGATCGCCCCTTCATTGGCCCACCTCAAGGCGTCGAGAAACTGCTCTGTCAAAGTGGGTGGACTTCGGAGGCAAATACTAGCATTCTGTGGATGTTGGCAGACCCAACGGCGCTCGAGCTCTCTGAACCTGGTAGACCTTCGAGTGTCCCTGTGGACACCGCCCTTGAATACGATTCTCGTTCAAGCCCGTCGGCACCGACTGGCCACTTTGCCTCTGCTCCTGAAGACGACGTCACAGCCCTGCTTGCCTGGCGCCGTTGGGTTCAAGGCTCCACCTGGTTCCTCAACAAGATATGCCATCACACCGTTTCAGGCCCGAATCTTGCTCCGAACGAGTGGGCTACGCAGAAGAGCTTGGTGAACCTCCCCGAGCTTTTGGTCTCTGTTGCTGCACACCTCTCAGCGGCGGACATTCAAGCGTTAGAATCCACCTGCCGCACCATCTTTGGCGCACGCAATCGCCTCTGGATGGTCGCTTGCCTCAGAGACGGTTTTGCTTGCTTCAATGACTCTCCAACAGCTGCAATGCGCGATATGGTGTCCGCGGTAGAATCTCACGTTAGCATGAAGGCGGTTTATTACTGTTCGGCCTCGCAGAACTATCGCCGCATCCAACGCGTGATTCGCTGGCTTGTCGACCGCATCGCGGAGCAGAATGCGTTCCTCGATGGAGTCTGGAGTTACGGACGACGCCGTTTCAGCGTCGGTCCGCCGTGCGTGGCATCATTTGACCTAAGGTATGAGCTTTGATCCCGACGAAGTCGACCCGTTCCTCGCCTGGCGTGGAAACATTCGCGATGTGGTGCCGTTCGTGGAAAAGGACTTGGGTATTACACTCAGCTGGCGAAGCTGGGGGATGCTACACATCCAATTGAACAGCATCATGCAAGATATTGCTGGAAACGACTATTGGTTCGACCCCGAAAGACTCTTCTGGTCGGATTTTTGGTTTAAAGACGGAAAGCTGCTATCGTGCGTGGTTCCTTCGACCGACGCAAGAAAGCTTTGACCACCATCGCATTGAATCCCGGCCGGCCATTTGCAGCACTATCATAGGTCCACTCGTCGGTGGCTCCCGCTGCGATGGCCACAGCCGTGTGGTAGGCCCAGCAGGCGAGAGTCGGGTTGGCATGGACATCGACGTCGATCGTCACCAGAGCGTGCGTTGGCAAAGCGAAGCAGAAGAGGAAAGAGCTGGCCATGCCGGCGGTCGTGGGGACGGGTGAGCCCATGTGCTTCTGTGCCTGTGCAGGGAAGTTTGGATGAGGTTCTGTTTTTCTGAGCGTTTAGATAATATTGTGGTTATTGTGGTTACTGTTCAAAACCGAACAGAGGGCCTTTTTTGGATTTGCACACAAAAATCTGCACAATTGAATCTGCACAGAACTTTCTCTTAATAAACACGTGATCTGTCAAATTCCTCGGTTGCCTTGTCACCTTCATTCTCTCCGGCCGCCAGTGCCCCAGTCTTGCACGCCTCTGAAGCCTCCACTTCCCCTCACCCGCAGAGGGACGACCTGGTCAAGAAGCAGTGGCCCAGCACTCCCAGTGAGGCAGACGATTTGAGTGTGCAGCCACCTACAACGTAGCTCAACCCACGGCTATGCTTGCAGGTCATTCCATCCTACTCCTTTCACACGATTGTTACTGGTGCCACAGCACGTCACAGTTGTTCCACATTCCCATGCTGTGTGACCCATTCCAACATTCTTGTCGGTAACCTCAACCTGAGTCAGTTGTGGAAGTGAGGGATAGGTGCCAAGGTGTGTGTTTTTTGGTGGTCGGTAAAGGGGGATGCCTCTCCACCGCTATGTGGCCATAGACCGAGCCCTTGCCACATCGCATCTCACCCGCCCAGCTGTGGCAGTCGCATTTGCCTTGAGGTATCACAAAACTGAAGCATTTCTTATCTGTGATGGTGAGGTTGCACAGCAGCCGAATCCTCACAATCTGTGTCTGCTCTTCATTCTGTGTTCGATTTTCGGTGGAAAGGACAAGAAAAAATAAAAAAAGACAAGTGGTGTGCTTGCGTTGTGTGTGCGTTCTGTCTGTGTGTCTGTTTCTCTGGCGGTTGTGTGGAGAGACACAAATTTGGTTCAGAAGCGGTTCAGAACTGCTGCATGGTTCAACTTCACTTGAACCAGAATCTGCGTTTTATGGTTCTTGAGAAATAAAATTCTATTAGTTCTCGTTTCTATCTGAACCCGAGTCAGTCATTTAAATGCAAACAGCTTCGTCAGTACGCCGACCATAGCTCAGTTGGAAGAGCGCATGACTGTAAAGGTCCTATAACCGAAATCATGAGGTCCCCAGTTCGAACCTGGGTGGTCGGATTTGCATTTTTTCCACTTTGCCTCGCCGTGCGAAAACACAGACAGTTATTTTCAGTGGTTTGCAGAATTGTTGACCCACAAGTCAAAAGATTCGTGGAGGTGTCAACAATTTCGCAAACTATTGTAATATGTTGTCTTCTTGGTACTCGATGGAAAGCTGATATGTCGACATCACTTGCACCAGATAGATACACCACATCATCTGGTCACTTGATTCTTTGTTAAAAGTTTGCAGAAAAACTCCAGGGCAATAATTCAGGAACGGTTCACAGGTCAGCGGAATTTTCTCCCAATGAGAGGTGTCAGCTGCAATGTTTTTGTGCCACCAAGTGCTGGTTCAGGGGGCTCCAGGACTTGAGCTGGAACTGCCTCCACCCTAAAAATCATTCCCCAAGGCCAAAGCCACATGTGAAGGCGGAGGTTGAGATTCTCACTGTTGGTTTCAGCTAAGAATCGCAGAAACTGGGCACTTGTCTTTTGGCGACAACTGACACCAGATGCCAGGGCCAAAAGAGTGACACGTTTTCCCCCTCCCTTTCATTTGGCTACAAGGGGAAAAGGAATAGTTTGATTACTTCAGGGCTGCGCAGCAAAGATACAGGTGAGTGCAATGATGAATTAAAGACTCTTGACCCGAATGGGTTTATTCCTGCTTGGCATGCTAGTGCAGGCACAGGGGAATTACCAGGACTTCAACCTGGGACCTCCTCCACCCAAGGAAGAACTCGTACCTCTGGAGCAAAGCCCACAGACCAAAGCCCACGGTTTACCTCTCAACAGTGCCTCCAGCTATTCAGTGGGGTTGCCACTTGTTGCTGCCCTTTCACACACTGGACCCAATTCAATATGTTGCCAAGGGGTCATTAAAAAGCGAGCGTGCCAGGGGTCGAACCTGGAATCTCTTGATTCGTAGTCAAGCGCGGAAACCATTTTGCCACACGCCCGTGCGGTTTCATTGGAACAGGAAGGCCTTTGAAAAGAAATTATCTCAAATGAACAGTATATATGAACTGTCATCCTATCCTAGTGGGTTAAAGCAAATGATATGATGATAAGTTCCAGGTTCCACCCTGCATTGTTACCTGTCTCGCTTACGTTATCAGTGCGCCCTTGTCACAAGGTTTTGTCATTTTGATGAAGGTACTTTTGTTGGTGGAGTTGTGCAAACGCCTCCACAAAGGCCGGGTATTGGCAATTAATTCCTTCCCAAAATCCTGATGCTCTCTCCCTCTCTCCAGTGCTTCGGAAGGTTCCGAAAGTTTCAATCCATCCACTGGCCTGACATCACATCATTGCTTTATACTGGCAATTTGATGAAAATTAATCCAGGGTCTAAAGGGATGGATTTCAAGATAGTGGGAGATGCCAAATTCCTTCTTCTTTGCCAAGCGCCACGCCGCTCATCCAACTGTTGAGTTTTTGCTGCAGTTTCTCTGGCGTTGAACGCTGTGGCCAGATTCATTAGGAAACACGAAAGGGTGGTATTAGCACCAAAGGGTGCCTCGGGCTGGCAATTGGGGGTTGCGCAAATGGCGTGGCGAAAAACTTACATATTCCAAATGAAATTATATGCCTTCTACCAGAATCGAACTGGTGACCTTCTCCTGTCGTATTGGCTACTAGGGAGACGCTCTGCCAACTGAGCCAAGAAGGCGCTCTTTCAATTGTTTACATATTTTACTTGACTCATTGCGGGGTTGCAATTTTCTTTGCCCATTCAACAGGGTTTGAGACAGGCCACAGCTGCCAGAGTGTTGAAGTTTCCTCCAAGTTTACGGCTAACGACATGTTCGAGGACCTTGCGCTCTTTCACAGCACCATTATTCTACGTGAGCATTTCATTGATACAATTCTTTCGCAGAGTCTCATGAGCGACCCGGAGTATCAAGTACCGAACCAGCCGCACCGTGCCAAATCGCCAACTACTCAAACCCGAAAGGAAACAAAGCGCTGGAAATGCTGAAATCGAAGCTCAATCGCTATCTTATTGAACTTGTGGATAAGGCACCAAGGGAGATAGATAAAAGCGGATGGAAAAGCATTGGGCGGAATTTGAATTTCGTTCTCTTCGCTTTGCTGCTGGGGACGCACCCGCCGCAACTTTTTCTTCCTTTTCTGCTTAGTTCCTCCCTCCCATCCTACAGGGGATCCCTACCATCCGCGGCTACCTTGGGGTTCGCCTCCTCAGGTCGGGTAGGAGGGAGGCGATGTCTCTCTCCAATTCGGGCTTTTGGCCCGGAATGGAGGGAGCAGTACTTATAGCCATTTCTTTCACACCAACATTCACCACCAAAATAAGCGCAGCAAGCCCTTCTCCCCTCTTTGCCCTGCGTAGCGTTGCGTCGTCACTGCTCGCCCGCCCAGCCCGCCACTCATCGCTTTCTATTCTTAACCCGTCCATCTCTGTTGCATTCTCCGCGCCGGACGAAGCCGCCTTTTTCCCGCTCTGGCGGCACGAAAACCACGCCACCGCGGGTTCATATGCATTTTCCTCCATTCCAGTACGTTTCCGACCACCCCAAAGATTGTGTCAACCTGTGGTTCAGCCGGATCACGCAGGGGTACGCGCACCTTCCGGCTGCCAAGCTGCCCGCCAACGGAAAGCTCGGCATCACCTTGAAACGGTGACGATCAACTCGCCAGGGTATGTCGCCTGGCTTTGGCCCGGTGCGGTGCTCGCGGCATGCAGGTTGAGCACGAAGACCTTAAGCACAGTGATGAGGCCGAAAGTTAAGATGACTTTCGGAACTGCGCTGGACGCGCACCGACCCAATGCCTGGCAAAAACAAGAAGCAACAAAAATACAAAGACAAGTCCCGGCAGCAAGGAAATAAACGTAAGTTATGCCCGCGAATATGGCATGGTTACCCTCGAGTTGGCGGTTACGACTACCAGTCAAGCTAGAGTCGCGCAGCATCGGTTGTCCGCATTGTCCGCCGAACTCGGCATTCCAGGAGACGACCAGATCCTCGTTCAACCGGACCCCCTCTCCGCAAATAGAAACATAGCCGCCGCACCGTTTTTCTAGGAGAATCATCAACTCTGCGCGAGAGTCTCAAAGCAACTGATGAACTTCCACGGAAGATTGTTGGGAAATATCGACCGCTGAAAATCAAAATAGATTTGCCTTCTACCAGAATCGAACTGGTGACCTTCTCCTATCGGATTGAGTACTAGGGAGACGCTCTGCCAACTGAGCCAAGAAGGCAATTACTGCCAGTTTCCCAAGATATTATAGATAATAAAAGTAATACATGGCGTGAACTGCCGCAATTGTGAAAATCGCCCGCTCGCTCCTGGAAGCTCGCTGGCGGAAATTGTTGGCAGGTGCAACTACTGCCACTAGTGCTGTTTTAACAAATCAATGTTGAACTGAAGAAGGCTCGCTCTCTCGCACACATTGTGTCGCGGGGCGAGTCTCCTTGAGTCTGCACGATTACGAACCATAACGAGGTCAACATTGTAAAAAAACTAAGGCCACGGTCTGCCGTCGCACCCCAATGACGGCCCTCTACTTCCAGCGCCCCCCAAACGCCACCTTCGGTATAGCAATACTTTACGATTTTTTATATTTATATATATTTTTCGTTTCCCTCTGCTCTAGCCCATCCCGCCATACTCACGTCAAGCGGCGGCAACACCACCCGCGGCCGCCGACAAAATCCCGACGGCCGGCTGCGGCGGTTGCGGCTGCGGCGCTTCAAACGTCTGCTGCAGCAGGTCCTTGAGCGAGCCGATGGCCTCGTCGAGGTCCGCGACGTCGTCCGGCGGCGGCGACGGTGTGCGCGGGAGCGAGGCGTCGAACGAGTGCGCGCGGCGGAGCCGAAGCGTGGAAAGGTGCCGCGGCACGGCATATCCGTCGGCGTCGAGGGTGGCGCCTTCGTCCAGGACGCCGCCCGCTGTGGTGGTGGTGGTGGCGTCGGCGCCGGGAGACCGCGGCGGCGGTGGTGCCGCGCGGCGCGGGACGCCGGAAAATAGACCGGCTGCGGCGCCGAAGAAGCGCGGGCGGGACGGCGCGGGTGGCGGGGTGGGGTGTTGTGCGTGCTGCTGCTGCTGCTGCTGCTGCTGGGCGTTGGTGGACGGCAAGGGGACGACGGCGGCGGGCTGGCCCATCATGGCTGTGACGTGCGCGATTTGCGGGTAGAGGTCTGGCGGCGGGGGTTTTGGCGACGATGACGAGGCCAGCGACGGGGCGGCGTCGATGCCGTAGCTGCCTCGCCGGAGGAGCGTCTGCCGCGGCATCGCGGTGGATCCGGTGCGCCCGCGGGAACCAGGGCCTGTTGTCTGCTGCTGCTCGGGGCGGAATCCCGCCTGCGCGATCGAGTGCTGGAGGCGGCGCATCTCAGCGGAGCGTGCGGTGGAGAAGACGGAGCGCGACGTGGCGGTGGACGAGCGCGAGGCGGACGAGTGGGAGGACGAGCGAGCCAGCGACTGGATGGACGACGGCGCGGCGTAGGGAAGGTGGCGCTGCGACCGGATGGAGCTGGAGCGCAGCGAGTCTTCGGTCCACAGGTCAACAGACGCGGCCGAAGGCGCCGGCGGGAGCATGCCAGACGCCAGCCGCTGGAACTCCTTGACCATTTCGTCGACTTTGCGCACGCTGTCGGAGATGGCGTCGACGCTGGACTGCGTCGCGTCCAGCCGCTTGCCGGCCGCCGCGGCTTGGTCGACGCTCTCGCTGTCGCCGCCGATCGGCGCCAAGGTGTCGCGCCGCGCGTCGGCAATTTCGCTTTCAACGCGCGCGAGCTTTTCGAGGACTTTGGAGACTTGAACTTCGAGCCGCGCCACCTTGTCGGACACCATGCCCGCCAGGTCGACCTCGATGTCCGACACGGAACCCATCGTTGTGACGGTTGGCGACCGCAGAATGGTGCGTCCCCTAAACTGCATGGACGACACGGTCGAGTGAGCGACAGAGAATCTTCTTCCAGTGTCGGCGATCTCCAGCTCTGGTGGAAGCCCGCCTGCTTGTATTTCCCGAACCTCGTTCAGGACAGATTCGATGCCGGCTAAACGAAAACCGAATTCGAACACATTGTCTTCGATAGTGCTGAGGAGGTCCAAAACTGACGACAAGAAATTGGAGGAGTCCGATACAGTCGAGCGGGATGAGATGATTGACGGGCGAGCCGACCGCAGCGGTGAAGGCATGGTGATGGTGCCAAGAGCCAGAGAGGATGATCTCAGCCTCAGCGGTGAGGGTCCTGACAGCGTTTCAGACTGATGCAAGGAAAATTCCCGCATTGGCGGTAGAGGAACATCCGTGGCATCTGGCACGATCGCTTCCATTGGAGGCTCATCAAAGAAAATTTGCTTCGTGGAAGGTACAACGGGAGAGACGGGCCTGCCAAGAAACTTTGGTTGAATGGGCGAGTGATTGACGGGTCCGGCGGCATCAGGCGATCTTGATTGGAAAGCGATGGTGAGAAGGACAACAGAACAGAGAAAATGCAAGTACGCATGCCCTACATGTTTTCCATTGGCTTCAGATCGGTCGGGGTAACAGATCGCGCCATCACAATCGGCGGACGGAAGAGCTTTCTGAGTTGAGATCTCGACTGCTCCCCCGTTCCTTCGAACTCGGATTTCTCTAGCAGGGAATCCGACGACCCGCTGGACCGCACGCCGTTTGGCGGTGGGCTCGAGGACGGGTCAGAGTGAGATTCCGAGCTCGACCGCGCAGCAGTTGACGAGCTCCCAAAACTGACGTCCGAATGGATAGACCTGCTCCCATTCCACGAAGAGTATTGCAAGTGCAAGTTGGACTCAACAGGCACGGGCGAGGACATCCAAGTATGTAAAGGCAACCCGCTAAACGCCGAGATCAATGGAGCGTGCGGCGTCACGGTTGCTCCTGAATCGGATGCGCCAGATAGCGAAAAGCTGGCGCCAGCAGCAGCCGCGAGCGATTGATCCCTCTTTGGTGGGAGGGGCGACTCGCCGGTCCCCGCCACCGGAGGCTGCTTGCGGAACTCGGGCTGATCCGCTGAGATTGGACCGTTGACGCTGTACCGAAAAGCAGACGGCGGTCGTTCCGCCGCGAAGGGGGTCGACGATCCGGCGAGGTAGTAGCCGTCCAGCTGAGCCGGCCGTTGCGGCGGGGTGGGCGAAACGTACGACAGCGGTCGCTGAACGGCGGCCGCGGCATCACCGACGAGCGGAGCCGACATCGGCGTGAGTCTCGGGGGAGGCGGGGTCGTGATGGCGGTGGCGGTGGTGGCAGTGGTAGCGGCAAGAGGAGACAAGGCCAGCGGCGAAGCCGATCCGGAAGAGAAGGGTGAGGAGGTGGAGGATACGACGGCGACGTTCTTTAGTCGGGAAGGGGACGCCGCGCCTTTAGACGAGAATGAGGCGGCGGCGGCGGCAGCGGCGGCGGCGGCTTGGTGATGGGCGTGGCCGAATGAGGTGGATCGCTGCGGCGGAATGGGAGCGGGCGAGAGGGGCACCCACGACGCACGGGCCGATGGCGGCGAAGCGGGAGCCGAAGTGTAGACGAAAGCAGGGGTGGCGGTGGTGGTGGTGGAGGTGGTGCTGGTGGTACCTAGAGGGGCCGGGGACGGGGGTGGCGGCAAGGCCGGCGATGGCAGCGGTCGGAACATAATCGGCGGTGACGGCGCAGACGGCGTGGATGGCGACAACTGCGGGCGGCCTATACACCCCTACGATCGATGGTGCGCCGGTGGTGGTGGTGGTGGACGGGAGGGGAGGGGAAGAGGGTCGGGTCGAGTAGAGTCGAGCGAGGGGACGAGAAGGACGAGGAGGGGACTTTCCGAGTCAATAGTCGATAATGGGCTGAGCCCCAAAACGAACTGGTCATTGACGAGAGCACTCAGAGACAGACAGAGAGACAGACAGAACGGGGAGAGAGAGGGAGAGAGAGAGAGAGAGAGAGAGAGAGCGTGATGACTAACGAGCTCTCGAAGACCTCACGACAGACAGACGAAGAGACAGACCCAAACCGACAGGCAGACAGAGGGACGGACAGACAGACACTTTTGTGTGCGGAGCTCCACCCACCCTTAATACATGTCAGTACGAGCCGAGTACGAGCACACACACACACACGGTAAGATAAATACTAATAGCAACAGCAGCAAGCAGCACGCGGGCACATAAGTAGCGAGAGGGAGGGGAGAGAGTGTGAGAGACGACAGAGAGAGCGAGAAGTAAAACAGCGAGGAGGAGAAGAAAAAGAAGAAAAGCAGTGAAGCAAGTCGCACGAAAAAAAAAAAAAAGCTGCCACAACAACTCCTTTCGCACTGCTTTCCACACCCCCAAACTAGGTCGGTTAAAGTGGGCAGGCGACGGGTGCATCCAGCGAAACACTCATTCAACGTGAGCCGTCACCGCCCACACCGCAACCCCCACCAATGCCGCCGCCACCACCGCCGCCACGCACGGCCCGCGAGCCGTCCGCTCCGCCCCCGAAAACAGGATCGACGAGTTCGTCGCCGTCACAACGGCGCCCGACGCCGATGGCGGCACCACCGTCGACGCCACCACCCCGCTCGTGCTCGACGAAACCACCACCGACGACGACGAAGGAGGCGGGCCGGACACGACGGGCACCGTGTCCGTCGACGTGAACGGCGTGTCGGTCTCTGTCGACGACAACGACGATGGGATGCTCAGCGCGCGCGACGCCACCGTCAGCACCGGCGGCGGCGGCGCCGACGACGACGACGACGACGACGCGGGGGGAGGGCAGCCGGCGCCAGTCGTTGCGCCGGGCGGGCAGGAGGGCTGCGACGGCGACGCAGAAGTCGTTGTCGTCGTTGTGGAAACGCTGCAGCCGGCGGTGGCTGCGGACCCGGACCCGACGGTGCAGGCGCTCGTGACGTCCGAGTAGCTTGCGTAGACGGGCTGCTGCGGGTCCACGCCGACCACGGCGGCGGCGGCGTGGGGTGCGGGTTCATTGCTGCCGGTGCCGGGGTCGCTGGTGGTAGAGTTCGTCACCGCGGAGCTGTTATCGTCGCCGCTGTCGCCGCCGTGCGGAGCAAACTTGAGACCCAGTGCGATGCCGAGCACGGCGACAACGGCGACCGCGGCGACCGCGGCGACTACGGCGATCGCGAGGACGGTTCGCGCGCGCCGGCGGGCGGCGACGGCGCGACGGACCCGTTCGGTCTCGGGGTCGTCTTTCAGGAGGAACTCTTCGTCCTTTTTGGGCTCGGGGGCTGGCATCACCCGCGTGATCCTGGCCGTCGG